CGACGCGTTTCAGAAAGGCGGGGCATAGAGGAGCAACAATAATGTACAGTATGTGGAAAATAATGTTTTTTTTTCATGCTAGAATCTTGAGAAAAACTGAATATATATAAATACTTTTAAAAAAATTAAATATATTTGTATTTTTTTATATATTATTATATTTATATATTTGTTAATTTTTTGACACTCTTAAAAAAAAAAACGTGCAAGAAACGCAGCTGTGATTAACCATGTGAGAAATATGTTAATAAAGTTAAGCCTACTAGCAAACTTGTTGACTTTTGAGAATTTTTTTTGTATTTCTGATTCTGAACACGCCTCCATTTTTGGGCGTTCACACAGGGCGTGCTTTTGAATTCCACTGTGCTACTTTTTCATTGTTTTTAAACATATACCAGACTGTCAACTTTGCCTGTTGCAAGGCATGTTAAAAGCGGTTCAACTTTTCAAAAAATGTTTCCCGAAACCTTGCAGTTTTTTCTGTTCCACTGCCTAGCGTGGAACATATTTTTGCATTACACTGTACTGCCTTTCCAGTGTTTTTCTCTGTAAATCATGCATGAGATGATAATATATCTGATCACTGCACTCCTGTCTAGTGCCATTTGCAGTCTTATGCATGACAGAGTGCTCTAAAAACATAAAGAAGTAAAAGAAGTTCAACTTTTAACACCCTTGTCTTTAGACCCTGCGTTTTTAATTCCACTGCCCATCGATATCATTTCATGGCCAATGCTGAAAATAAGGAAACTGTGTGATCACATTTTTGTAGGAAGTTAAATGAGACAGATTTCCTTTCTCTAAACCCGTGCAATTAATTGAAATCCTCCGTAAAAAGAAAGCAAACAAATGGCACAAGCTGAATAAACAATGCGTTGCCATAAGTGATGAAATCTGTTGTTTAACACCTCTAAGGAAGAACTAGCATGAACCAATTTCTCATCACTTATGAGATGATCTTGCCCGCTCAGGCGGTTCTCCTTTCCTGCAGCCTGTGCACAAGGAGGCCGTGTGAGGAGGAGGCACTGGAGGGCACTGCTGGCATTAGCGAGCCAGGCGGATTCAAGTCTTCAGGGCTCAGTGCCCAAATGCTACCCCATATTGCTGTCTGGCAGTAGAGCGGAGGCAGAAGGCGGCATGTGAAACGCGAGCATGTTTGTCGCCACTCTGCTCCACACAAAGCAGACAGATGTCTTCATTATCGTAAGGAATAATGATGAAGGATCTGGATTATGATCTGGCAAATAAATGGGAAAATACAGATGGATACAAGCAGGAAACTGAAACACACATGCTCTCACACTTATATTCAATAATGCCATGCTGTTATACCATTGTCCATCTGAAAGGATCTTCACAGTTTTGCATGTTCATGCTTCGCTGGCTGCAACGGTAATCAAACTAAAAAAAATAAAGCTACTGCTGTTTATTTACCTGCAGCACTGAGGCAGTAAAACGGGAAAGCAGAGCACATTTGATATTAAACAGATTCTCAACTTTGTTTACATGCCCACGTAAACCAGCCTTAGAAAAAAGCAACAGACAGCATACAAATCAGAAAGAGAAAATCCTCAGACTTACACTTATGATTAATCAAAACATTCAAAACCATTTCTTGTTTACTTCGGCCACGACGCAGAAAAATAAAAACATCTGGAGGACTTGGATGGAATTCTTTCTATGGAAATAAAAGACTGTGCAGACTTTCCCACTAAAATGAAATGAAATGTGTGGCCTGTGAAGTGTACTGTAAAAGCATCAAACAGCAGAGTGAGCACCACTTCCTGTGCCAGTACACTAATGGTCTCCCTCTTTCTCTTGTGCTTCTGTGTTTTGTGACCCTTGTATC